CAAATACGGGTGCCGCCGCAGACAGAGATACAATGTCGCAGTGGAAAAACCATGATACTCGATACAAATAAATTTTTGCGACATGAAAATCGAACTCATGTCCTCTGTATGCGATAGCGAAGCACTTTACCACTACCCAAATATCAGACGTTGGTGGTATCTGGTTTGAGTTTGTTTGTTTGTTTGTTGGGTTGTTTGGTGGTTTTTTTTGGGGGGTGGAGGTCAATTAAATTTTACATTGGTTTTGACCTAATTATGATGTTTGTGTCATAGATTTTCCCGTCATAATATGAAATATTATATAATACATTTTGGGCTTATTGTTATCTTATAAGTTTTTTCTGGTTTCGTTTCTGAGTCGATTTGCCGTACTGATTTTAAGTATGGCTTTGATATTGATTTGGTTTTCTGTTTTGATTCAGTCAGTCTCTCCCTCTTTTTTTTCTTTTACTAGATTCATTCATTCATTTGCTCACTCTTTCTTTCTTTCCTTTGCGCTTACAAACTCTCGTCTCCTCCTCATTCTTTTTCTAAATTCATCCATTCTTTTACCCACTTTTTCTTTCTTTTTATTCTTTACGCTCACGAACTCACTCTCGTCTCCTCCGTCCGTGCAGGTGATCACACTGTCTACAGCCACCCAGGACACGTACGAACTGAAACGTTTCTCGGGCAAGCTTTGGGACAGAGCCGTGAGACATGTACAGATCAAGGAGAACGAAATGCGGAGAACGAAGAACAACATCAACACAAACGTCATATTCCCGCATCTCATGTACACCTTGTACCCTTTCGTGGAGGAGAAAAATACCAGTAAGATTTGCATAATTCATTGTAAGCTTACGTGCGTGCTCTGTGCTGTTGTGAAAGAATAACAAGAAAAATTGCAATAAGATTTGTATTGTTTATTGTAAATTTACATTGCGAAAGTACGAATGGGTAAAAAATGAAAAAAGGGGGCAAGGGGGGGGGGAGGATTATTAATGGATGAAAGAGTGAATTAGTAAGACACTGGATGAGTTAGAGAATGGATAGCTAAAGGGATATATATGGATGGAAGAATGAATAAGTAAAAGAATGAATAAGCAAAAGAGTGAATGAGTGAAAGAATAATAACATAGATTTTTGAGAGCACCCGAGTAGAGTGTCATCTCAGGATCGGTCATATTTGTTTCAGCTGAGGTGTCTGAAGAACAGAAAAAGTGCAGTTGTGTTTGTTTGTGTGTGGATGTTTAAATATTTGTGAGAATGGGTGTGTGTTGTGTGTGTGTGT